GTGAGTTTTTGGTTGTATGTTATGTATGTTTGTATTATGATTATTGTGTGTCTGAATGAGTTCATGAACATTAGTTATATTTATGTGCCAATGTTTGGCTGTGGAAATCAGTGAGTGTTATGGGGAAAGGTTTCACCCCATGGCAATGGTTCGTCCCACTAGGTGTTTGGCGGGAAACTTAGGTATTTAATCCTTTGTCTGATCAGGATTAGGAAAAAGGTGGCATCCTGTGGATACTATGCCAATGATGGAACATGTTTGAGGCCTCTTGACAACACGCTACATGACAAGCTCTGCAAAGGGGTTGACCAATAGAGCTGATAGCAATGGTTAGTCAAGTTTAATTCCTGGGTATTCTGAATGCCTCAGCTGAACAGCTATTTTAATCCTCTTATGACTAATTATAGAAGGTAGACGTGTAGCTATCGATCATATTTATGTCCCTATTACATTTTGCTTTCCTGGTACATAACTGTTGAACAATAAGTGAAAAACTAGTTTCAATGAAAGCGTAGTTGTGTAACATACTAAACACAGAAATGTTATGCTCTCCTCCCCAACCCCTCCCAAACAGCTATTTTAAGAGGACAAATGGCTTTACATCTGTTTAAATTCATTAATTTATCATTGCTGCATAAACATTTTTCATTGACTGCAGTATATAGTATAGGTGAGTATGCATGCTGAACCAAAACATTTCTTGAAAATAAAAATACAATAAAAAATGAAAGTATTATATACCCCAGTCTCAGATTTGATGCTGACAACTTGAGAGACAATTGTCAGAAGACTTCACTAAAAGTTACAAAGTTGGGGTTTAAATGACACCAATTAATATTCAGTAATAATATTACTGATTTAACTGCACTGACACGTTCGAATGAGAACAACATTTTAACTGAATATAGCTGGATAATGACACAAATTTGCAACATTGACAATGGACACTGAACTGACTTGAGTTGAATAATGACACTGTTGCCTTCTGTAGTGCTGCTGATCTGCCTTATTATGGCTTATTGCTTAATAACAATGAACAATGTCACAAAACATACCTAAAAATGCAATTTCTTTCACTTTAACTATATAAGATAAAAATAAAAGATTATTACTTGAATTAAAGTTTGATTGATTATAAGAATCGCGAGAACAGCTAGATCAGGCATACTACTGGGGTCCTAGCAGGGACTTATCACTTTGCTGGGAGCCTGGGACTCAACACTTCACCACACCGGAGCAGACTGTGTGCGCTGCGGCGGTTCAAGTGACACTAACGTGAAACCAGACTTCATTCGCCCCAATGGAAAGCATATTTACACTGTCTGAATCGTTCCATATCCCCTATAGGGCACTATATGTGCCATTCACTATGTAGAAAATAGTCAATGTGTGAACAAGTGACCGATTTTAGCTGCAGCTTCAGTGTCTATAGTGTAGGGGGCGGGACACTTTAGATTCTAGAGAGCATTTGATTGGACAGAAAATCTGATGAGAAGCTGAAGTACAGAGTGATGTCATCATCAAAATTGGCGGAAGTGAGAGACTGTAAGTTTTGAAAGCTTATTTCTTCTAAATGCAAATTTTGTCATTGTTTTGGAGCACACTATAACAGAAAGGCTAAGAGTCATACTAAAAGCCAATGTTGATATCATGGGGACTTAACCACTAGAATGTGGTAAGTCCTGTAAAGTGAGTTACCGGTAGTTAGTTTTTTTTAAAAATCAATCAAACATGACAGTTTTTACTTTCGATATGACAGTGTGATATACCACAGTTACTCACCTCTGTCAAGCACTTTAACCTGTATCCACACAGGCCCTTCATAGTAACTGCTGAAATAGGACTGGTGCTCATCAAAACTGTGCTTGATTTTCTAATTCCCCATGGTAGCAGTTGTTTCTTCCAAAATATCATAGATGCAACAGATCCATACATCTATTCTTCATACCACTTCTCCTCTGCAGGGCCGTGGGAGGCCCAGAGCCTATCCCAGCATCTCAGGCCAAAAGCGAGGGCCAGATTACTATATATATATACAGTATATATATTGTACAATAAATGAATATTGGATCTCCATCATCAGTTTTTTTTAACCCCATTTGATGCGCAAGCTATGGATACCCCCTCTAATGCACAACATGGGTCTAAAAAGACCCGTATTCATTTCCTATGTTATTCATGCATTGCTCTGCATTTTTTTTGTTTCACCTTTTGAAATCACTTTATTTGAGCATTTTATATTTCATGATCTATAAATTTCATGATTTATGAATATTCAAAATATCTTGTTTTCAATTATCTCAAATTCATATTTGAATATTTCCTAGGTTTTGTGTAAATACATCAAGTTTACACACATGGGTCTAAAATGACCCATCTATGCAAGCGTGATAAAACAAAAGAATAAAGAAAACTTTTTGTTAAAATAACCATTGTCACAGTTGTTTAGATCAACACATTTACTGTAACACTTGAAATTTGTTGGCCACTTTGTCACGCATAACACACATATAACCGATAACACTGAAATTGAACTGTAGTGTAGTGCACCTGTAGGGGGATCTCCCCACCACCAATGTGCAGCATCCACCCGGATGATGCGACAGCAGCCATAGTGCACCAGAACGCCACCACACGACGGCTTATGTGACCGATAGCATTGATTTATGACCACAAATAAAAATTAATATGGAGGTACTGCCCAGGTAAGGTTTCTGCCCAACAGCGCCAATATATACTTGTATATATAATTTTCTATTGCAACTTTTATTTTGTTGACCTAGCTAACATTAGATAAAGTAAAATAAATAAAATATGTCGACCGCAAGCTAGCTAATAGTATTGGACATGTTTCTCTTTTGCACTAGTAATGGATTTCAAGGTCAAGGTAACCTTAGCCTAAATGTTCAAATTTTAGGCTATATCTGTCTTTCACAAAATATCAAATATTTTCTGTGACAAAAAATGTATTAAATAAAACTTACATGCATGAAATATACAAAAGCAGCCGTGTTGAATTGTGAAATGTGTGGCAGGTGAATAGTTTTCTGCAGTAAATATATTTATACTATTTATAAATATCAAAGGTTCCTATATGGGTCATTTTTGACCCATGTGTGTAAAATTGATGTAGAAATACAAAAACCGTGTTTGTTTATAAAGTAAGAAAGGAAAAATAAAAATAATGATTTGTGGAAATCAAAAACAAGATATTTAATGAATACCTGGATTAATAAATGATAAAATACATTTCTTTCAAATATTCAGCAAAGAAACATGAATACGGGTCTTTTTAGACCCATGTTGCGCATTAGAAGGGTAGTGAAACAAAAACGATTTTTATTCGAAAAGTAAGACAGGAAAAATTTAAATAAGGATTTGTAATGATCTAAAACAAGTTAATTGAGGAATACCTGAAATACTGAATGATGAAATTAATTTCTTGCAAAGATACAGAAAATGAAAACTCAGTCGGGTCTATTTAGACCCATGTTGTGCATCAAAGGGTTAATAATGTCCTTTATTTGGTTAAATTTCATGTAGCCTATGCCTAAATACACTGTTCAAAAGTCAAAAAGTCCTCACCAAGGCTGCATTTATTTGCTCAAAAATACAGTAAAAACAGTAATATTGTGAAATATTACAGTTTTATAGAACTAATTTCTATATTCATTTTAAATTAATAAAATGTATTCCTGTGAGGGAAAAGTCGAATTTTCAGCATCATTACTCCAGTCTTCAGTGTCACATGATCCTCCAGAGATCATTCTAATAGCCTATGCTTAATTGTTGCTCAAGGAACATTTCTTATGTTGAAAACAATTGTGCTGCTTATTGCTTAATATTTTTGAGCAAACTTTTTCAGGATTCTTGGATGAATAGAAAGCGCAAAAGAACAGCATTTATTTGAAATAGCTCACTCCAAACTTTTGAATGGTAGTAGGCCTATATTTGATCAAGTTTCCTTTTTCCCCTTTGGTTTTGTTGTTGTAACAATATTTTTTAGATAAAACTATATTTACCATAGACTATTTTTTTGTAAGGGAATATTTATTTATTTGAAGAAGAAATAAAGAGTTAAATGGAGATGAAAGCACAAAACTATTGACGAGGTTAGTCTTGTTTGTTTATCTGAAGCATTGTAGGAATTCCCATTACAGTTTTGATTGCCCGATTTACAGCCCCTGTAAAGGAGAGATGAAAACCAGGCTGATGGGAAGGAAGGTTATAGGCTATTTAAAACTCCCGTCGATCTGGAATCTACAGTGAGTGAACTAATGCAGAAGAGGCGGGATTTACCTGCACATAAGAGCAGATTCTGGCTTCTGTGTTTAAGGAGCTGATGCCTGCCCACTTCGGGCGAACTTCTCACTTAAAAGTAACGCCAGCTGATTGGTTGTGTTAACGGAAGATTTTCTGTCGCATTGTAGCTTTAGGCCACTGCCGAATTAAAGGTGTCGATAAGAGCGGAAAAATAAAACGTTTATAAATATTATAAATAAATTCGTATTATTAATAAAAAATATTTTCCCGCTTTTTCCAGAATAATGTATGACTCGGATTATATAACCTCTCATAAAGGCTTTTTTTGTGAAATCATTTTCTTATTTTCTTTCTCTCTTACTCATTCAAATTTTTGATTCTCGTAAGAAATCATTCATAAAAGTAGAAATCTAGCAAACATGTAATTCACGTAGGCCTAATCTATTAAAAATAGTACACGTCATTTTTTCCATTAAAGAAGGGCATACGAAGTCATATATCGGATTGTCTGCAAATGACAAAATATTTGTATTTTTTATATATTTTTAGACGTTCATTTGGATCAGAATTAGGTGGCATCGGTGTTAAAATGTCCGAAATCCCTGTAGTCTACAGGTGGAGCTGCTGGGACTTTTATTTTGAATTCTCCTTTACGGTCCTTATGTAGGTCACAGTCATCAGCTTCATGCTTTGGTCTCACGTTGCTGCATGCTTTGACATCCCTAGTCACAGAGAATTTATATTTCTTAAATAACCGGTTAACCTTAATTATACTTAAGGTTTTCTACGTGTGCTTTTCTATTATTCCTGAAACAGGAACGATGATTTGTCAAATTAGCTTCAACGGCTGATCCAGCTTTCTAACCTTGACTGAATTTGATCACAGTCGAATTATTACGTTAGTGCGAATACATAGAGTTTAAAATATATGATGTTACGGAATATTTGTAGGCATCATAGACAATTTGGCCAGGTCATTTGGCCATTTCCTCAAGGGCATCATGTTCCTAGCTTATCAACACACCTACAAAAGGCAAAATATGCCAGTGCCATAACGGGTAAGATCATTACAGAAATGTATAGCCTATAAGGACAAACCTAATATATTGATGCATGATCTCTTGTTCTTACATCGCGTTTTGCAGAAAGAAAGAAGTTCTACGAGAATGTGTCGATATCTCAAGTAGATGGTGAGCGTCTTTAAGCATAGCAAGTAATAAACGTAGGTTTTCAACAAGAGAAAAAGTATGCCTGTTTGAGAATTGTCTTTGTGTTGTCTACAGGGGGTTTGTTTGAAATAAACCTTGACAAGCGAAAGCTGAAGACTCCAGGTGGAAAGCTGTTCACAGTTCCCAATGAAGCTCTTGCCATAGCTGTTGCAACAGAGTGGGAGGTTCAGAAGGAAACACTGAAGTTTTACACCATGCACCTAGTAGGCCATTATTATTAAACGTTAAAGTTTCTAAATTGTATATATTAACTATATTATCACCCGGTGATATATTCAAAGTTGCATATAAAATTCAACTGTATTTGTATACATAATGACTGTCAATCACATAAACCAATATACATATATACTAGGGGTGGAACGGTACACAGAAGTCACGGTTCGGTTCATACCTCGGTTCAGACATCACGGTTCGGTACGATTTCGGTACAATGGAGTGAATAGCAAAACAAAAATGCAGAAGGCTTTTTTTATAAATGTTTTAAGCCTTGTATTTTTTAAATAAGTTTTATTAATAAAGGCATAGAACCAGTTTATTTGTAGTGCACTGACAGTAGTTTTATATAATTCGTTTATTAATAAATTATTAAAAAGACGAAAAGTCCTTGAGATATGTTTGGTAATTGTACCTGAATGAATTTAAAATTATTTTGCTATTTCAGATCAATATATTTGTTTTCCTTCATTTTAATTAACCCTAACTTTATTCTCATCTGAATTATAAATAATTGATTTCCGTATAAAATAATACTACCATTAAAAACTTTTTGTTGTAGGTTACAGTTTGACAAGAGTTTAGAGTGTGACAAAGCACAATGTTGTGTTTTATTGCGAGTGTACACAAATATAAGTAAACACTTTGCAGTTTTAATGATGTCCTGTATGAAAAAAATGACGGAGTATGTTTTTATGTTTCTGATGTTCGATCGCCCGTGCCTCTCTCTCACACACACACACACAGACTGTTCGATCGCGCGATTCGCGCCCGCCCGCGCGCGCACACACACACACACACACACACACTGTTCGATCGCGCGATTCGCGCCCGCGCCTCTCTCTCTCTCTCTCTCTCTCTCTCTCTCTCTCTCTCTCTCTCTCTCTCTCTCTCTCTCTCTCTCTCTCTCTCTCTCTCTCTCTCTCTCTCTCTCTCTCTCTCTCTCTCTCTCTCTCTCTCTCTCTCTCTCTCTCTCTCGCGCGCGCGCGCGCGCGCACACACACACACACTCCAGCATTGCAATCTTGATCGCAGCCTGTTCATTGCCGCGTGCAGTCACACCAAAAGCGAATAGAGCGAAAAAATTTTGTACCGTGTATTCTCCGTGCAAATTCGTGCACCGAACCGTGACGCCCGTACCGTTTCGGTTCAATACGAATACATGTACCGTTCCACCCCTAATATATACAGTCGTTAAAAAGAAAGCACACCCTCTTTGAATTCTTTGGTTTTATGTATCAGGACATATCATCTTGTCTATAGCAGATCTTAAAATTAGGTAAATACAACCTCAGATGAATAACAACATGACATATTACACGGTGTCATTATTTATTTAACAAAAATAAAGCCAAAATGGAGAAGCCATGTGTGAAAAACTAAGTGCACCCTATGATATGATATGATGTAGAACCACCTTTAGCAGCAATAACTTGAAGTAATTGTTTTCTGTATGACTTTATCAGTCTCTCACATCGTTGTGGAGGAATTTTGTCCCACTCTTCTTCACAGCGTTGCTTCAGTTCATTGAGGTTTGTGGGCATCTGTTTATGCACAGCTCTCTTAAGGTCCCGCCACAGCATTTTTAATCGGGTTGAGGTCTGGACTTTGACTGGGCAAGTGAAACACCTTGATTCTTCTCTTTTTCAGCCATTCTGTTGTAGATTTGCTGACATGCTTGTTATCATTGTCCTGTTGCACGGCCCGATTTCAGCCAAGCTTTAGCTGTCGGACAGATGGCCTCACATTTGACTCTAGAATACTTTGGTAAACAGAGGAGGTGACTCATGGTCAACTCAAAGAGGTGTTTGTGCCAATATGCTTTGTTTGGTTTCCCCAAATGTGGCGCTGTGCATTATGGCAAAACATATCCACTTTGGTCTCGTCGGATGACCTCTGTTCCAGAGGTCTTGTGGTTTGTTCAGATGCAACTTTACAAACCCTTTGCAAGCTTTGCAATTCCTCCTTGGCGTTGTGTAAACACACACTTGGGGTCCATTCTTCGAACCTTGCTTAATATATCAGAGATGGTTTAACAGGTGCCAGATCTTCTAATCGTGATCTCTGGCTAATTTGGTTCTTTCTAGCACATTTAAAATATCTGGTTTAAGTTGTCTAAAATCACTGATGGACTACACAACACAATATTATAATATTGTTTTAAAATAATTTTTATATTTTTTAATTATTATTATTGTCCCTGGTTCAATAGGGTACTCTTGTAAGAAAGTAGCAGTCCCAGCGACAGACTTTAAGTATCACCTTTAAGAAATAAGCCTGCTCCTGAGCAGCTTTGAGCTTACAGACTTGTTGCTATGACAGAAACTCTGGGATGAGTTTCGAAGAACCTTACAATCAGTTAGTCAGATCGTTGCTATTTACCCTCTTAATTCCTATGGAAGCAGTAAGGGTGTATTTAGTTTTTTTTATTTTACACATGGCTTCTCCATTTTGGCCTAGTTTTTGTTAAATAAAGAATGACACACTGTAATATGTCTTATGTTGTTATTCATCTGAGGTTGTATTTACCTAATTTTAAGACCTACTAAGGACTAGATTAGATTTTTTTTATTATGTCCTGATACGTATAACCATAGAATTTAAAGAGGGTGTACTTTCTTTTTCACATGAATGTATATACTACAGTATGTAGCAGATTTCAACTGCTTGATTGTTTATATTGTAACAAAATGTGAACTGTATTATTGCCCAGCTCTAATCTGCTAAATGCAACTATTTAGCATGAAGAAAATAAGATATTATATATATATATTGTATATACAAAACAATTGAACTGTCTTAAATTGTATATATGCTAATAAGACTTATTTCTGTCCATATAGACCACACTTTGCAACACAGCTCTTGATAACCCAACACAAAGGACGAAAGAACAAATGATCTCAGCAGCTTTAAAGTTTTTGGAGACTGACACTATCTGGTAAGGTTCACTGGTTTATTACTTGATGGTATTTAATTAATTAAACCAAGATCTTACTAGGCCTTCTCTGCCATTATTGTGCCACAAAATTGCAGTAAATGGTATTAGTTCTCCTAAATACATCTGCTGATAGTATTATGATTTCATTAAATCAGATCTACCTTGCTTGCAGTTACAGAGTAGAAGAACCTCCAGGTCTTGTGGAACTGCAGACAAATGAATGGGAGCCTGTAATGAACTGGATAGAACAAAGGTGATATTTAGTTGTTTTGGCTAGATTAGGTTTTAATAAAAAAATATAGCCAATATGTCAAAATATATAGCCACAATAAATGGTGTATATAAACATCTTGTTGTTATTTTTAGATACAATGTAGTCATTGGCTCATCCTCCAATATAATGGGCCCTCAAATCCCAGAAGAGACTAAGGAGACATTTCGTCAACACCTTCATTCCTACAATTTTTGGTCTCTGACAGGTAAAGATATTTGGTGCTTTTGCATCTTATGTGAATGGGCCTGTTTGAACAGTGCAGTTTCTAATGTTCCTACAGGGCTTGAGTATGTGATCACTCAGCTGAAATCGTTGATCTTGTCCTTTGGGCTGATTGACAGACACCTAAGCGTGGAACAAGCGGTTCTGCTGTCCAGACTTGAGGAAGAATACCAGGTATGGTGGTTTCTTTTTTATTCCAAATGCTTAATGATTCTAGCATGGTACATTTTCCCCATGTTTATGATTACTGTACATTCTGTTCTGTTTTGTCTTAGATCCAAAGCTGGGGAAATGTGGAATGGGCCCATGATTATGACATGTATGAGTTGCAGGCACGAACAGCTGCTGGTGCAATGTTTGTGCATCTGTCTTCTGAAAGCACAGCCGTTAAAAGAAAAATTTTACAGGATTGAAAAGGCAAAAAAGGCCCTTTATGGGACTGAAACAGATTTTTTTGTTATCTGTCTTAGTGTCTTTGTTTACTTTTTACAGTAACCAGTCACCTCCCAACCAGTAAAACGATGTTGCTGTCCAGTTATGTTGTGAGCAATAATATAGATGTCTAGGTCATGATATGTATTTGTAGTTATAACAGCTGCTGCATGTAAAAACTGTAAATGCATAATCCTAGTAATTAATTTCAGTTTAATGAAACGGTTCAGCAAATATGTTAGAAACAAAAACAAAAATTGGAGACTGATAAATTACAATCATGTGCAAATGTCTGATTGAGTCACCTCATTTGTTTTTGCTACATGGTCACCCAGATGTGCTTTTCAAGCAATTCCCTTAAGGTCAAAGTCACATAAAATGTCTGGTTCTTAAGTGCATAGTCTGAAAGGGCAAACTGATACATAACCATTAGTAATAATAATAATAAAGCATCAAACCTGCGGTATAAAGCAGTCGTGTCAACGAGGTCACTACTGTCCCTTTAAGTAGCTGGCGTGTCATTTCAAAAACAGACAGCAGGTTCCGCCAATAGCTTTGCAGCTCTGAATAAATCAACCAATAGGAGTCGTTCATGGGCGGGACTTGAGTGTTTACTGTCTCATTGACTGGTAATCGTTGGATATGTTGACAAGATGGAGTTCTTGCTGGGAAACCCATACAGTACTCCGGTGGGACAGTGCATTGGTATGTTTTTTTAGAAATTAAATGATGCTTAAACATTGTGTCAAAACAAGTTAACCTCTAAAGCGATGCATTTAACTGAGACGCTGTACAAAAGCTCACCATATGGAGAGCATGTCAGTTAGCTGGCTAACACTAACAGCTATGCTCATTCATGCTAGCTGCTCTAACTCACAGTTCTCAAAATGTGCTGCAAAATAGTAATTTCCTTAATTCTTTAAATTGCCAATTCTAGGGAGGCGAAATGCTGCAATGAGTTTAAGTAAACTGTTACTACAGCGGTTATTAGCCTGCTAGCCACAGGACAGTGCGTTTATCTCTCACACCCAGTTTCATAGCTAAAGCTTGAGGTAATGTGTGTAAATGAATCATACTAATGATCAACATTTATAAATGGCCACTCTGTGTGAGGAACATGACCGCTTGCTTTGGAAGACACCCAGCATTATCAAGCACATATTGCACAGCGGTTTGCAGATCAGTGCAATGTCATTAGTGCCGATTTTTTTCCAGATTCTCTTTTAGAAACAGGCAGTAACCGATTCTCTTATCAGTTTGCCTTTTGATCTTCTCCAGAAAGGGCCACAGATGGCTCCCTGCAAAGTGAAGACTGGACCTTGAATATGGAAATATGCGACTTAATCAATGAAACAGAAGATGGGTGAGACATGAAAGATGCATGATTCATCATAGCTTTGAACCTTTTTGCTGACATATTCCGTAAGCCTTAGGAAACGAAAGACATTGTTATACAAATCCAGAAGTTGCTGTCATTGTTATAGTTGTACATATTTTTCATAATATAAAATGTTTAATTATAGCTGAAGGATCAAGTCCAGGATGTTACAATTTTTTTTTATTCTTCAGCAATGTGTTATTTATGGAACCTGGTAATGCTTTCTAGAAGAACATGATTCATTCACTTGACCGTGTCATTGTACAGTCAAACCAAAATTTATTCAGACACCTTCGATATTTCTCACATTATCACAGTTTATTCGGTATAGTTTAGAAAATGGTATTACAATATGACAGAACTTAAAAGTTATCAAATCAGTTGAATTTGGATTGAATAGTTGTCAGGTGTTAAATTTAAGTACACAATTAGATAATACTAAATTAGGTCAACCAATTACCAAGCAATGCTTAATTTTTTTCAGTCTGTGGTGTAAAAAGGTCACATTAGCAATTAAAGAAAAAACACGTAAACAAAACATGGTCAGGTCAAAGTGTCCCAATTTTTTTAAATTTTTTACTGGTAGTCCACTGTATGAAGAATTTTTGGGTATAATATGTCACAGTTTACTTTATTTTGCTATCCTCTCTTACATAAATTAACTGTAGTGTCCTGCACCCATAATTTTTGGTTTGACTGTAACTCCATAATGAATTGCTTTTAGCTCCATATGTGTTATCTGATTTATAGGCCTAAGGATGCTATACGAGCTGTGAAGAAGAGGCTTAATGGGAATAAAAACTACAGGGAGGTGATGCTTACACTGACGGTGGGCAACAGTCGATGGAAACTTTTCTCTTTATAGTCTTACTAACGGCTGATAATTCCTTTTTAAATTGTCCTGTTTATTTAGATTTTCATAATGTGTTCAGGTTCTTGAGACATGTGTAAAGAACTGTGGCTATCGGTTCCACGGACTCGTCACCACCCGGGACTTCATAGATGGCCTTTTGGTGAAAATTATATCTCCTAAAAACAACCCACCGGCTATAGTGCAGGACAAAGTACTAGCTTTGATACAGGTATGGAAAAAAAAATCTGGATTTTTTTGTTTTTATTGTTCAGAATCAGTTAAGAAAAATGCATTTGCCATATGGTTTACACACACCATGAGGAAAGGAAAATGACAAGAACGAGAGCATGATGGAAAGAGAGAAAGAGAGAGAGAGAGGAGGAGGTGCATCATGGGGCTGGTTACCTGATGCTCGGTAGTCAAGGAGATCCGGCTGATTCGTTGGCACTGAAGTTGTGCTCATTACAACCTAGTGGATCAGGTTACCAAGTTTGGTTCCAACGACCAAGGCTAACTTCAATTTACATGGTCTTGCATTTAATGTGATGCCAGCAATTTCTCATAATACAATTATTAAGATGGAATCTCTAGAATGGCGTTGTCCAAAGAAACTAGGCAGGTGAAGTTTGTGCTTTGCATTTTTGTTTGCCATTCAAACAACTATTTAAAACAGTCACCTGATGGTAGTTACTACACTACTTTTCAAAAGTTTGGGTTTAGTATTTTATTTAGCATGGACACATTAAATTGTACAAAAGTAACAGTAAAGATATTCTATTTCAAATAAATGTTATTCCTTTAAACTTTCTATTCATCAAAAAATCCTGAAAACAAAATGTATCACAGTTTCCATAATAATATTAAAGCAGCACTACTGTTTTCGACATTGATAATAATTAGAAATTCTTCTTTAGCACCGAATCTGCATTAGAATGATTTCTGAAGGATCATGTGATACTGAAGACTTAAGTAATTCAGCTTTGCCATTACAGGAATAAGTTACATTTTTAAATTATATTAAAATAGAAACGGTTATTTTAAAATTTAATAATAAAATGGTACTGTTTTATTCTATTTTTGATCAAATCAAAAATCTCACCGAACCCAATACTTTTAAACAGTAGTGTAGCTTGTTTAATAAGTTATTTAATGTTCAAGTAGAGAAGATCTGAGCAGCCGAAATGTGCATTCCTATAGAAAAGTTTAATAGTATGCAACACCAGTTATAAACTATATTAATAGCTAGCTATTCTGACTCAATTTATGTCATGTTTTCACATATTAAGTTTGCATGTACTCTATACATCAGGCATGGGCAGATGCCTTCAGGAGTAGTCCAGATTTAACAGGAGTAGTCCACGTCTATGAAGAAATGAAGAGGAAGGGTATAGAGTTTCCAACGTCTGACTTGGAGACCTTGTCCCCCATTCACACACCACAACTGGTAGGTGTTGACTCCAGGTATGTTATGGTTTGTTTGTCACAGAGGTTATGGTGGCTTCCTCTAAAATATAATGGGCCTTATCATTTACTTAACTTTATCGCTTTACCTTCCCTCTTTATCTCTGCGCTATCTCTCATTGTCTTGCTCTGTTGATAATAGCTGCAAAGTGCTCCAGAGATGGACCAGCCGAAATACAGTGCCCCAGTCCAGCCCAAGCCACAGCCTCACCCTCACCCTCACCCTCACCCTCACCCTGCCTCCGCTCCTCCCTTCTCTGCCCCTGTGACTCACACTTCCCCACCGATGCCCAATCTGCCCATCAACCCTTCCCCAGAACAGGTACTACAGAACCTCCTTGTTTCATTCTTTTAAATGGGATGGATCAACATTTGTTTCCACAGATTGCTTAATGATGTCATAAAATATCATTGATTAGATTTGCAAGCTGCGCAGTGAGCTCGACATTGTGCGCGGGAACACTAAGGTGATGTCGGAGATGTTGACAGAGATGGTTCCCGGTCAAGAGGATCCATCTGATCATGAGCTTCTGCAGGTTTCTCATTCAGTTTTTTTTTTATATATTTATATTGCTAAAGTCTTGAAAGAGCTACATAAGGCCACTAGAGGGAGTGTTGGTACAGCATTGTGTTGACCATTTTTATTATTCAGTATTACAAGGTTTGTTTGCTTTGTTGGAAGGAATTGAACAGGACGTGCAGGGCCATGCAGCAGAGGATAGTTGAGCTCATCTCACGCGTGTCCAATGAGGAAGTCACGGAGGAGCTCCTGCACGTCAACGACGACCTCAACAACATTTTCCTACGATATGAGAGGTGTGAACAAGCAGGATGAATTTGCCTTTTCCATTTACTCACCCTCATGTTGTTCTAAACCCATTAGACTTTGGTTAATCTTTGAAACATGAAGATATTTTTAATGAAACCTGAGAGACTTCTGTCCCTCCATTGAAAGGCGTCATAAAATGAATCCATATGAATCGAGCAGTTTAATCCAAGTCTTGTGAAAAGAAATGATCATTTTATATAATAAAATGATTTAATTTAGACTTTTATTTACATCTAAACAATTATGGACACGCATGCATTGAGCACAAAAACTTTTTATTAGCATGTGATGCACACACAAGCTTCTGTATGTGTTTATACAGTATGTGAATAAAAGTATAAATGAAATCTGTTTATCATATAAAGCGATCGTATCACTTCACAAGACTTTAACCTCTTAAAGGTTCAAGAAAAGGCTCTTTTAAGCGAGGGTAAGGTTTTAATGATTTTCTTTGCTCACTTTTCTTTAGATACGAGAGGTTCCGATCTGGCCGAACTGCGCAAGGCATAAACAATGGGGTGGGTTGTGTTTCTTTAAGAGAGTGGTTTTATCTGTGTGATAGCATCAGTTCATCATCAATGTGTGTGTTTTTTCCCCCTTCAAACACATGTAAGGTAAATTGTTCATGCCAAAAGCACAGCTCAGAGTCACATGTGTCATTTTCTCTTCCCCTCATTGCTTGCTTTTTGCTCTAATATACAGTATGCTCTGAGAAAGCATGGTACGTTTGCTTTGAGATGCAAACACTTTCATCATGTGCGGTTATCAACTGAAAATGTGATTGCATGTTGGTGTTACTTATTGTGTGGTTTGGTCTGTTTTGTGATTTGTTTTTCTTATTTTTATTTTTTGTTATTGCTAGCTGAGGGAGGCAAGTATGAGTCATCTAATCTCTTTTTTTTTTTTTACTTGGACATGCAGATGCTAAAGAATGTTGTGTCAGTTTTGGCCAGTGCAGTCCCAGTCCCGTGTTGCATCCATCGAACCTCCACTAGCATGTAGAATGCCTGTCCTGCAGTCTGTGACCTTTGCTTGCCATTCCCTCCATCTGCTTACCCTAGTACTAGTTTCTCCACTGCTTCAGATAAAATAGGCTACATGGGGATTTAGGAGCGGTGCATTTTATGTAATGGATATATGATTTTTAATAGCATAATGCAGCAATAATATGCTACTTTAGGTTATTTTGGTAGTTTTCAGGATTTCCTGAGAGAAATACACAACCGTTCAAAAGTTTGGGGTTAGTAAGATATATAAATTACGATAAAAATATATCACGGTTTCCACAAAAACATTAAGCAGCACAATTGTTTACAACATTGATAATAATAAGAAAGGTTTCTTGAGAACTAAATCAGCATATTAGAATGATTTCTGAAGGATCATGTGACACTGAAGTTCAGGTTTGTCACTACAGGAATAAATTAAACTTTAAAATATATTAAAGTAGAATTTTTTTTTTTTTTAATTGTAATAATATTTCACAATATTACTGTTTTTTTTTTTATTAAATAAATACAGCCTTGGTGAGCATAAGAGACTTTTTTTTAAAAACATTAAAAACTCCAAACTTTTGAATAGCAATGTATTTTGGGTATTTTTGTTAAAAACAATTGTTGAATTTACTCATGTGGTGTCTAGTACTACGGAAAGGCGACGAGATGCACATATTAAATATGATGTACTGTAATTCACAGTCATAGAATCTGAAGCCAGTTATCACAGATTATTAATGTGCTTTTTTTATCCTTTGTTACACAGTACAGCTATACAGCACAGATGTATTATGACTTCTGACAAATCACATTTTGACAGCATGTGTCTATTATTATTATTATTATTTATGGTCTTTTGCCGTGGAATAAATAATTTCTTGTCACGAGCATGTCCCGTACCAATGTGCCACGACACCAACAAATTACGTTTTTGATGTCATTTGTGTTTCTTTTTTAAGTGCTTTTGACTTGTAAAATAGAGGATTCAAACACATTTGAGCACAACTCCTCTGAAATACAGCAACATACCTTTTTTAAGTGGCAAAGAAACAAATACTATGAGTAACATTTACACACACTGAGTAATAAGTAGCCTGGGAATATCCATTAGCCATCCTTCTCGTGCCCAGTCTAATAGTCAATGTTCCTGTTCAGTGTCACCACTTCACCTTTTCATCAATTCTTAGTGTACTTTGAGTTAAAGGTTAGACTTCCTCTCACAAAAGAGTTGGTGAAACTGGTGAAAGCATCGTATGTATTACATCCAAACCATTTGTCTTAACTCTTCTCAACCTGTAGAACTGACTGCTGGGTCTCTCTTTTTTAATTTTAATTTAAATTTTTTATAGTTCACTTCAAAATGAAAATTCTGTCATCATTTACTCAGCCTCAAATTGTTTCAAACCTGTATGAATTTCTTTCTTCTGCTGAACACAAAGGAAGATATTTTGAAGAATAACCAAACAGTTGATGGACCCCATTGACTTTCATAGTATTTTTTTTCCTACTATGGAAGTCACTATGGAGTCCATCAACTTTCTGGTTACCAACATTCTTCAAAATATCTTCCTTTGTGTTCAGCAGAAGAAAGAAATCCATACAGGTTTGAAACAACTTGAGGCTGAGTAAATGATGACAGAATTTTCATTTTGAAGTGAACTATTCCTTTAAGCAAAAGTAAAAAGAGTAGAAGTATGTAAACCAGTGTGAAAATGTTCATGGTGTAAAGGTAAGATAGCAAATAAATAATCTTTTATTTTTCCCTAAAGTGTCTGTAACCAATGTGTTTCTATGTGAAATGGTGTTGCATATCAACAGGTCCTGAACGAGGCGACAGAAGATAACCTGATTGACCTGGGACCGGGGTCTCCTGCGGTGGTCAGTCCCAGGATCAGCGCCACTCCTCCGTCCAGTCTGCCTCCCTCCGTCGCTGCTGTTCGCTCTGCCTCTCCAGTCACACTCTCCTCCAGACTGGCGGTTTTGGGTGAGTCTCGTACCTTAGGTACACAATATTCTGTACATTTTTGATATCTAGAGAGATGCTGTTTTGTTTGCCTGCACTAATGTGAGGATACCGTTGCTTCACAGATGTGGGTTCTGACAGTGTGACTGGCACCTTGAGCTCTTTGACTACCTGTCAACCCCAAGATGACTTTGACATGTTTGCCCAGACCAGGACTGGTACCATTCCTGAGCGGAAGAAGTATAAACAAATCAAAAATTTCATGCAACCAATAGATTATAATATATAATAGAGTTAAATGCCCCCTTTAAAGGGATAGTTCACCCATCTATCATCATTTACTCACCCTCATGTCGTTCCAAACCCATTAGACTTTGGTTAGGTTTCATTAAAAACATCTTAATTTGAGTTTAGTGATGGTGGAGCTTAATGAAAGTCCAGGTAACCAAAACAAAAAGGTCAAAAGCATTGTGAAATGAATCTATATGAATCAAGCGGTTTAATTCAAATCTTGTGAAGAGATACTATCACTTTATATGATGAACAGATTTAATTTAATAAACACACATACATGGAGCTCATAATTCTTGGTAAACATGGAAGCTTGTGTGTGCGTTGTGTGTGCTTCGCGCTAAAACAAACCTCATTGGTTCTCGTGTTTACCATATTTGATGTGCTATGTCAATTTCATCCTATTAAAAGATGGCTTTATGATGATACATCATTCAATATGTTAATAATTTGAAATAAATGAAAACATTAAGCCAATTAGTTCTAATACCCCACAGCGTTAACTTATCCCTAATTACTTTATAGTTTTTAAAAATAATTTAAAAAAAGTATTTACCGGTATGTGTTTGTTTTGAATAATGTCTCATTTCATGTAAAATACTAAACCAATTAGTTTAAAATAATGAATATATTCACAGATCACTATAATTATATTACAGTAAAGGTGGGGTGAGGGGCATCATACCCTATAGTATATTATATAATTTAAATCCTAAATGGGTAATTATAAAATGTTTTATTTTATATTATCCCCCGGTTTCACAGACAAGGCTTAAGTTAGTCACAGACTAAACTGCATATTTGAGCTGTTTTAACCGATAGCAATTTTCTCTGACATATCTTAAAATATGTCAGTGTTATTGTTTTATCTCAAGATACACACCAGTAATGTTTTTTTTCTAAGGCACGTTTATAAAAGATACTTAAATTAATCTAAGCCCTGTCTGTGAAACCATGACTATATATTATATTATATTATATTATATTGTTAGCATTTAACTCACACATTCCTGGTTTTGAACTCCCAGTGTACCATTCGAAGACACAAAGGCTTCAAGTGGAGTGGCCCCGACTTTGGATGTCAGACAGCAAAACACTGGGGTGAGTTTGTGTGTGTGTGTGTGTGTGTGTGTGTGTGTTTTATTTTAGGACAGTTTCTTGCCTTCTCCATCAGCATATGTACGTATGGACTCTTTCATGTTAAGGAGACATAGAGCTGGATGTTAAGATACTTATTTTGGAGTGGTTTATAAAGATGAATATTACTGTAATGCTAAGTATGTAGTACACAGTAATGTATGTAGTGTACCATACTCCACGCTCAGAAGATGACACTAGTTCATGAGTGTAATCGTTGAGAAATTCTTTCTGGAAGCAGGAGTTCAGAAAATACTTTTATTTTTACTTATTAGTTATTTACTAATTATTAGTAAGTGCAGCTCAATAGTGTTGAACTGCTGTGTTCCGCAGTGCTGTGCATGTGTTTCACTTGTCCATATGGGGGTAGTTTACTCATATTTGATTAAGACTTTTATGTTGAAGTTATTGTTTTTGTTTTGTTTTGTTGTTTGTTTTTGTCATGTTTTCTTGGGATTATTATTTTTATTTGTTATTTGCTTGGCTCCGGGCCATGGTTTGGGCCCATAGGCAGCTCTTGACCAGTCCTCTGTCATGGATGACATTGAGGAGTGGCTCTGTACTGATGTGGTGAGATTTACTTTTTTTTTTTTTTACTTTTTTTTTCTGTCTTCTTCAGGACATAACTCACTTATTTGAAAAGAAATATGTAACTGCATATTTCTTTTTGTTTGCCTTTTTATTCCTGGCTGACTACCCTTGTACCCTCTTTTTTGGGTCACTAACAACTCTCCTTGAATGGTTTTCCTGCGTTCCTTACTTTTCTGGGATATTCTGTTATTTTAGTATACACGAGTGCGTAGTGAACAGACCCTTGCTTGACATGCTTTTAACACTTTGATATTCTATACTAATGCCTTTGGATGTTTTTGGGTAAATATAATTTAGATAATCTGTTAATTCAAGAACTTCTATTGGTATTTTGAAGGGAAGAAATTATAATGTTTGATGTGGCTGCAAACAAATTGTGCTCCTTTTTTTACAAAGCCTTCATGCGCTAAAATATTGTACCTTTTTTTTACTTCCCTTCAGAAAGGAGATGAAGGAGAGGAGGGTGTGACAAGTGAAGGTATGAAGAATTTCTTGATTTATACTACGGTTCAAAATGTTTTCTAAAAAAAAATAAAAAATGTATTCAGCAATGATGCATTAAATTGATCTAAAGTGACAGTATATGTATAATATTACAAAAGATTTCTATTTCAAACAAATGCTGTTCTTTTGAACTTTCTTTTCATAAAAGAATCCATCACAGTTCCCACAAAAATATTAGGCAATATTATTAATATTATTCATCTTTGAAAATAATAAGAAATGTTCCTTGAGCATCAAATCAGCATATTAGAATGATTTTGAAGGATCATGAGATCATGAAAATTCAGCTTTGCCACCACAGGAATACATTACATTTTTAAAATATATTACATTTATATTACATTACATTGTAAAATATAAAACGGTTATTTTAAATTGTAAGAATGGGTAGAATATCAAAATAGCATATTATTTTAAATGATTTCTGTAGTTGGAAAAGATGCGTCTATCCATTTAGATCAAGATACGACCAAGTTGTATTTACAAGGTGTCGGATAGGCCATACTAGACTGACTCATGGGCATTTATTGAAGGGTGAAGAAGCACCAAAATGTCTATACTGTAGTACCAACTTGTCTGTAAAACATATTCTTTTGGACTGCCCAATCTTTAATGTTATGAGACAGCGCTTTTTATCGCGCCAAACCTTTATGGACTTTTTTATGGAATTTTTTTTTCTCACAAGTACATTCAAAAAATCTTTTATAGAATTGTACTCATTTTGTACATTTCTTTTTTTTTGTCTAAGTTTGTTTTCATTATATTGTACTCATGATATTATGTTGTTAAATGTTTAGTATGTATCTGCCATGTAATAGCTGGTGATGCTATGCCAATAAACTCAAATACTACTACTATTTGAAATTGTAATATTTCACAATATTACTGTTTTTGCCACTTTTGAGTGGTAGTGTATCTATTCATAGACCCAGCAGTTAAAGGCAGTTTTTGACTTTAAACACTTTATGAAAACTTTCTTCCAGAGTTTGACAAGTTTCTAGAGGAGAGAGCCAAAGCAGCAGAGATGGTGCCCACACTGCCGACCCCCCCGAGTGACGAGCTTCCTGCTGCTTCCGGTGCTTCTGCCAGTGCAAGTAAAAAGCCAGGCAGGTCCGAGGACGCCCTCTTTGCCTTGTAGATAAGTGTCAGATCCTCAGGGGCGGCCCAGCTCTGCTCATGTGGCAGTGGTGGTTCTGTCCCTTTGCAGATCCATCAGCATCCCCTCTTTCTCTCCTGCTTCTCCAGCACAATCAACAGTGATCAGAACTGTTTCATGATCTAGACATTTTCATAATGGACTTTTTCTTACTTTCCCAAGTTTTCATTCCATTGAAAATGCTCCACCGAGAACTCCCTGCCTAAAGCATACTGTTCCGTGTGAGTTCGAGAGGTCAATGTCTATTTTTTTAATTGATATTTGTGGTATAAAGCAAGACAATTAATGTAAAAGTCTATTACCAGATCCGGCCATGTCTAATTTTTGTGTTCACTGTGGTCCTGCATGCAACAGCTGAATAATCCTATTTCTCTTTCCTCAAGGATAATCTGTAAAGGGAGCTGATAATTGTTACTAATTTTTTTTTTTTTCAACTTTATCTACCGGAAGATTTGCTTTAAAGGGATGTTATATATAGGATTATTTATTATAAAATTTCCAATTAATACCTCTGACAAGACATACCATAGCAGAAAGATGATGGTAGCAGTTCAGCTTTCAGAATTGAGAATTTTGTCATATTAACGGATATTTGAATCGGTTATTGAATGAGACATGATTTTTAAGCATATTTATAATTTATTCAAATTTAAAACTGAATATTTAAAAGACTTTTATGTAGACTTCACTACATAGGTCACATCAAAGGGAAAATTATATGATTATTATTTCACTGGATTCTTTTAATGTTATTATTTTACTTGGCAAAGCATTGCCTATTAGAAGAAAGCATTAATAGGAACAAAAAGTATGTATTTCAATTTAATTTGCACTGAAAGAGTTATTCGCCTTTCGGCTGTGTTAACAGAGCTTTTGTTCAAATACAAAATTTAAGCTGTCCTTCATTTCAACGCTGTCTATTACGAGACTGAAAAACAAATGGAGTTTCTAGAGAACTGATGGTGACTGCAAGGCAGTTTAAATTGGATTTTACGTTCACAACTGCTGCAGAAAGGGTGTCAAGCTTAGCGTTGTTATTAAGGAATGAAATGAATCTGCCTTAAAGAACAGATTGTGGCTAGTTTAAGATGTAGTCCACTAATGATCATGTAACGTTTGGTACTCTTATGTTTGCACACCAGACATTTGATTTAGTGAGGTGAATGTGCTGACGTAATATCTTCAGTTCGAGTGCTGTGTCTCGCTGTTCTGTACATACTGTTTTGACGGACCAAATGTTCAACCTTAGCAAATAATTTAAGTGTAAAGTCAACTAATTTAAGACATATATTGCTTTTAACATCCAGATGGGTTTTAGTTGTTTGTATTTGTGCAAGATTTTATTTGTTGATATAGGTGAGCACAAATCAAATGGACGGTGCACTTTTGCATGGCTAATAATTTTATATGATTTGTCACACTACACAAAATATGTATTACAAATGAAAACAACCCCAGATCTCTTGGGTAACTAAGCTTTGACACTCATAATTTCAGTTCGAAAACTGGGTGATTTTGACGATCGCCGCCTTTGGGAGAATTATTGGGAGTTCATTATGCTGTGTTTGTAAATGTTAGTTACCGCAAAACTGATAGATCTGTTAAAGCAATTTTAAGGGAAACTGTTTAAGGAGCTATGAAAAGCTGAAGCTGTTGTACATGCAGCAATAATGTCTGGTTTGTTAGAAGTGCTAAGTAGCAGGGATGCAGTCTGATAATGCACGAGCATTAATACTAAAATATTGTGGCTTTGTTCTGTTGATAACAGGAGACTTGAGGGACACGACATAATTGTGGGGACTTGTTAGTTTTAAGAGATTTATTTATCCCCCTACACATTATTAATATGTACACTAAATTCAATGTATAAAAAAAAAAACATACAGATTTTACCTCCCATGGATGTTAACCATCTCATTTAAATGCTGTTGTTATTGTTTTTGACTCTATCGCTGATATGGTTCATCTTGACATGGATAATGTTATACATCCATGGATGGATGTAACATTTGAGTTATTTATCACTTTATTAGCAACTACCTTCAGTTTCTCAGCAAATGTGCAATTTCATCTATCAATGCTGCACTACAGTTTGATTTCATTTGAAATGGTTTTGGCTGTAAATTAGTCTCAGAAATGTACAGTTTGAGAATGTAAAAGAAATTTATTTTGCATCTTTTATTTCAGAAGTCAGTATTGGTTACTTTAACTTTATATTAGTATGAAGGAACTGTAAAGCCCAGAATCATAGGTTTGGAGTTTCCGCTCTTGTGTCTTGTTGCAGTTTGGAGTGAAACTGTTTCACTGACTTATTTTAGGCAGACAAAAAATTTCCCCAGCATGTGGTCAGGTTTTGCCAATGTCTTCAGTAAAGAAACCCTTTTGTACCTTTGAGAGCATTTCTTTATAGGTACGGCACTTTTCTTCTCTTTGATATGTATTTGGAGTTATGTGTGTGTGTCTATCTATATGTGTGTGTGTGTGTGTGTGTGAACAACCGCTCCTGATATCTGCTGCAGACACCATGTTTATCCTGTGTTTATCAAGCGACGGGAAGGAGAGAATCTAGCTTTCCAACATGACACATCTCTATAAAGGGAGTGAAACTGCAGCGCGCGTGTGTGTGTGTGAGTGTGAAGGGCTGGCGTAAGCTGTACTCTCTAACCGGTGATCATTTCTCTGGTCAATCTTGGTTTTACAGATTGAACTGGTGTTGGTCTGTGTGCTTACCTGTTGTTATACCTCAAGCTGCTCTCTGTACTGTTTGATTCATGCATGTGTTGAACTCCAATAAAACATACCAAGATGGTGATCTGTTACTCTGTCTATTGTAGAATTGTATGTTATATAAAATGTATTTTCTATTCTAACTAAATTACTGATCTAACTAGTGCTGGGCGGTATGACCAAAAATCTATATCACTGTATGGTTTTTTTTTTTTTTTTTTTTTTGATTCTGGTGTTTTCATGTTATATCACAGTTTTTGTTGTTGTTTTTTTTCATGGCTGGACCTTTATATAAGCTTACAGTGGTTTATTTTACTGTCAGGAGTACATAGAATATGAAAACATTGCAATGTAAAAAACAAATTTACTTAAAAAATGGAGGTAATCAAATCAATTTATAAAATTACTATAAAAGTGGTATTAAAAAAAAACCTAACAAAACAATTTAGTTATCCTTTTAAAATGTAATTCCTTTTGGCAAGTTTACTGAAAAAACAAATGAAAACTTGTTCTATTTCTTAAAAAAATAAAAAAAATAATTAGGGGTTCAAGCGCATAGCACTGAAGCATTATTGTAATGTTTAAAATTTCCAAGAATCAGCATTCTCCCCTAAAAGTGATCGGGCGGGCAGACCAAACCGTACGTTTTAGAGACTTGAAACTTTGAGGGCTGACAGTACTCACACAGTCTACACCCGTCACCAAGGCTCGCCCTGATCGGCCTGACGGAGGTGCTACAGCGGTTAAAAGTACGAAATCGTTCATGGCTCCTAAACCGTTAGGCGCAGGCTCAAGTCAAGTGTCTTATTATCATTGGAATCCTTGGCTCAAGATGGACAAAATGCATGCCTCGAATTTGATCGTCGTCCCGTAAAAATTTTCGGGTATTTTGGATTTTTTTGATAAACCTAATTTTGCAAACTAGTTCTAGGTTTTTGGCCCGATCGGAGCCAAACCAGTGCAGCTAGATTCTCTGGAGTCTGATTGTCAATAATTATCAAAAAAGTTGAACTTTCGATTCATGGTCTCTAAGGGCCACCCAACCGTTCTAAGTGGGAGGAGACACTTTTACTAAAAAAGCTGTAACTCGTGAACAGAACGAGATATTTTCATCAAACTTTCGCGGATCCCGAAAAACGCGGTCGGGGATATGGCCAATGAATTTTGAGCAGCTGTCAGACAAGGTTAATGGAGGTCGATCGGAACAAAACTCGCTGGGCTTATGGGCCTGTGAGAAATTCAAAAGAAATTCAAGCACTCTTAAAAGGCTCCTCCAGCACATCCCAAACACTTTCAATGAATTTAAAGGGATACTCCACTTTTTTTGGAAATAGGCTCATTTTACAACTCCCCCAGAGTTAAACTGTTGAGTTTTACCGTTTTTGAATCCATTCAGCCGATCTCCGGTTCTGGCGGTACCACTTTTAGCATAGCTTAGCATACATCATTGAAGTGGACAAGACCATTAGCATTTCTAAAAAAAAAATGACCAAAGAGTTTCGATATTTTTCCTATTTAAAACTTGACTCTTCTGTAGTTACATCGTGCACTAAGACCGACTGAAAATGTAAAGTTGCGATTTTCTAGGCTGATATGGCTAGGAACTATACTCTCATTCCTGCGTAATAATCAAGAAACTTCACTGCAGTACCATGAGTGCAGCAGGCGTAATGATATGACGCAGCGCCTGAAAATAGCCTACCTTCCGTCAACACAACGGAACTATTTTCAGGCGCTGCCATTCTTTTTGGCCAAGCAGTGTATTTCTTTCATAATTTCTTCAAGATAGATCGAAGTTTTATTTTGGCAGGTAAAAATAAAGACCGTTGAAATTTTGTGTGTTTTAATAAATTGTATTATAACTACTACTACTACTACTACTACTACTACTAGAAGTAGTAAATTACTGTGCAATGTTAATATATTTTCTATAATATAATTTCTTCAAGTACACACACAACATGAAGACTTGCCTGTTTTCAATCATTTAAAAAAATATATATTTTATAAAACTCATCTTTGATCACCTAAATTACATATTTGCATCTCATTGGCTAAAACAATCTTTTGAAGAAAATCATTGCTTTAGAAAATTATGAAGTATGAAATAACTAGCTACTGGTAAAACATGAAATAAATTATACAATAAAATTAATACAGACTAATGGTTTTTATATCTAAAAGCCTCCCCAGCCCCCCACCCTACACCTTAAGGCTGATTTATACTTCTGCGTCGGAACTACGCCGGAGCCTCTAGACTACGCGTTGGTTTTAAATTATACTTCTGCGTCGTTGTCCGCGTTGATGCACGCAGAGGGAACATGTGAAACCCGAGGGAGCGGGTATAGCAGACCAATCACAGCGCTTGCGTCCGCGTAGAATTGACGCGTTGTTACATTTTTGGAGAGGTGCACGTCAGGGTACGCGCGTTACACACAGCCTACGACGTAGCTATGGCGGGAGGTCGACGTAGAAGTATAAATTGGGCTTTACCCTAAACCTACCCCTTCCATAAAATTTGTATTTACTGTAGTTTCATAATACATTATACACTCATCTAAAGGATTATTAGGAACAGAACACCATACTAATACTGTGTTTGACCCCCTTTCGCCTTCAGAACTGCCTTAATTCTACGTGGCATTGATTCAACAAGGTGCTGAAAGCATTCTTTAGAAATGTTGGCCCATATTGATAGG